CACATATACATCGTCGTCATCCGGAATATGGTTCCGGTGGACGACGTGAACATGATGTTGATATTGAAAAAGAAATTCAACGTGTTAAAGATGAATTACGTAGTAAAGAAACAGAATTACAACTTATTAAAGTACAAAAAGTATGTGAAATAAATTTTCTTTTATAATGAGTCGATCATTCAATAAAACAATTATAACTTAACTTCAAAAGTCGAATATTTTCAGACTTTTTCTACTCTCATCAACGTGTCTTTGTAGGCCTTCGATCATCGGAAGAAGTTTAATTGAAATCATCACATGCATCAATAAGTAGATCAGATGTTTCTAGTGAATTTTCACTATAGAGTATGGGTGTGGGTATAATCGAGGGAGAAGGACACACCCACACCCTACTCTTATTGAGATCGCTCTATTGGCAAAGTTTTAGGTCGAAATATGAAAGTATCGTCTTGCAGTGAAAATACACTAAAAGTGTTCGATCATCCTTGGAAACAGATCATAAGGACTAAAAGTTACACTAAGCCCTGACTGAAAAACGAATTGACACCTGAAAGTGTTTCGTGGTCGATTCAATATTTACGTTCATTATTTCTTATGTTAACGATTCTTTCATTTAACTTTTCAGTTCGAAACACCCAGAGATGTCTTGAGCGGGGTGAGGGAAAGAGAGGGGGGGGGGGGATGACCTCTTTAGTCTTCGAAAATTTCGGCTTTTTCCTTATTAAAACCCATACAAGAGTCAACCCCTCCTCCTCAATCTTGATGACTTCCGAACAATCCTGGAAAGATACTGCTTCCAAGTTCTATTGGTTTTCGATGTGTTTCTATCGGAATCGATCCATACTTTTTAACTTGAGATTCTTTTATTCAATAATGTTATCAAAAACTTATCATTCTCAAAATAAAGTGCTTTCATAGATCGGATCCTTCTAATTCTTCGCCCCATAATATTCCCATTACATCATAATTCGTATAAATATCTTATTTGAAACTTTTTTTCCCCTTTTAATTTTGTTATTTTTCTTTTAGGCTGTTGATGAACAAAGAATACGAGAACGTGAGGAAAATATTCGTCAACTTAAAGTAAAATATATAATTTATCTATTCATACATATATAAGATTATATCATATAGGAAGACATGCAAGCATTAACAAATAAAATGTCACAATTAGAAGAGAAATATCTTACATTAATATCTGTAATATTTAAATAAATAATTTTATTCATTATTTTTGATTTAATCCTATTTTAGTCTACTAAAACTCAACCCACTTCACCATCTCGTCAACGTGAAACTGGTGTTAAAGAATTATTAAAAGAAAATAAAAGTTTACGTGCTGAAAATGAACAATTAGTTTGTATTATGAATTATTAATTTTAATGAATTTTTCTTCTTTTTTTATTATCATTAGAAACAATTATTACAACAAGCAGAAAATAATTTTAAAAAAGAAGAAAAACAAAAACGACGTCTTCAACGTGAAATTGAAAATGTAATTTAGATTAAATTTTATTTTTTGGAAAAATTAATTTTTACTTTGTTCGTTTTTTTTTCTCTTCTTCTTCTTTAGCTTCAAAAAGAAATTAATCATTTAAATGAAAATATTCGAACATTAGAAAATGCATCTGGTGATACAAATCGATTATCTGAAGAATTAATTCGATTTCGAAATGTAAATAAAATAAAAGAAAAAAAAATTTCATTTATTTATAAAATATTTAGAGTTATAATGAAGAAAAAAATCGACGTAAAAAATTACAAGATGAACTTGATGAAGCTAATAAACAATTATCTAGACTTCGAAATCAACCACCACCAATAACTGATCGTAAATCACCTGTACCAACTCCTCGTTCAAGTATTTCACCTCCACCAATACCTAGTCCAGTTCGACCAACTCCACGACCTGTTAAAACAACTGAAATATATTTACCACAATATTGTCCAAGTCTTGTTCGAAAAATAAATCAAAATCCACGATATTTAAATGAATTTAGAAATAATACGAAAAAACAATTCAATGATGAACTTCAACAACATGAAGATTTAAATATTAATGAAGTAAGAACAATCAACAAAAAAACATGGAATAAACAATATATTAATGCTATTTTATTTTTAGAAAGATACTCGTCTTAGTGATAATGATTATCAAACTAAAATAAAAATTGTTGAACAAACACGACGAAATATGCAGGATGTAAGTTAATAAAGAAATTTTTTTCTTTCTTGTCAGTTTTGTAAAATATGATGTAAAAGAATTGTTAGAATATAGGGGTAAATACGTGGACTCTTACGCTTCTACTAGAATCCGTCGGATTCGTTCTGGACTCAGGTTCGAAAGCTTTGGACTCGATCGATCCTTGTCATATATTTTCTCTCTCCCTTGCGATAATCAATGAAATACGAACATCAAACGCATATCAATAACGCCTTGTTATAGAAAATACACTACTATGCATTTCCAAAGATAATGTGCTCCACTGTTTTTTCAATAATTTTTTATATGAGCATCATAGAGACCCATGGTCATCGAAATTTCATTGGACAGCAATTGGTCAGTAAGGTAAGTTCTTGATGAAGATTTTAGAAAACGATATTCCCAAACTTTTGTTCTTTCGATTTATGTCAGAGCGGCATTCATGGTTTGTTCTGTTCGAAACGTATAAAACTTTACTTGAGATCCCCGACTTCAGCAGATCAGTTCGAACCTTAAAATAAATATCACCATTCGAATCATCATGATGAATTACTTCTGCTTAGTTGCTTTTCTGGATGATCTTAGATCAATTCACTAAAATCAAAGATTTCAGAAAAAATTTTATAGCTTTCGAACGGGATAAGAATGTCGCACTTATATAAACAGAAAGAACAATTGCTTCTGAATATTGCTTTCGAATATCTCCGTCAAGAACTCATTTGATTGGTCATTGGCTGACCAATCAAAATTTCGATG